CCGACCATGACAAAAGGAGTGATCTCCTGTGTCTGTGGGAGTTCTCTTGCTGCTGGAATATTTAGTTTGCTGTTTTCCAATAATTTGTATAACGAGGTAGTTCTAAAATTCCCTCCATCACTTTGACGTCCAACAGCCCCAATATCAACAGCCAACAGCTTGCAATCTGCATCAACAAGAGCTTGTAACAATATTGAAAAATATTGTTTATAATTATAATGTAAAGAGCCGGATTTAGCCGGACATTTAATTCCGACGTGTTTGCCGTCCAGTGCTCCTAGACAATTGGGAAAATTGCATTTCTCCCAAAATTTTTCTGCTACTTGTCGCCACATTTCAGTTGTAGGGGTTGGCAGGTATGTCACTCGTAAAACATTCCATATTGTGATACAAGTCTGTTTAATAATTTGAGAAACTGTCGACACGCCCAGTCGAAAGTGAAGCGCCAAAGAATGAAATGACTTTCCAGTGGCAAGATATCTGAAAGAAATAGCAACTGGCTTCAATGAATTAGAAATATATTTAGAATCGTTTCAATAAATATACATCTGTAAGTCACAATTTTCATAATTGTGTACATTAAAAAATCAGTACAATTACTCAGTTTCTCATTCAGGCCAATTCTTTGTTTATATTTCAGTTAGAACTGTGAAAGCCAAATGGAAATATCTCAGAGATTACTTCCATCGAGAGTGCAAAAAACTGAATCATCCGAGATCTGGAGCAGGAGCCGATGATGCACCGAAGGGGTCATCGTGGCAATATTTTGACGCGATGCTCTTCATTAAAGATGTTTCGACTTCTGACAAAGTCGAATCAAGTCTACAAGAAGGACCCGAACCTGACGGAAGCCAGGAAGGAATATCCGAAGACTCAACTGGACAGGAAATAATACAGTTACCACAGAGTGAAGAATCTATGCCACGAAGCAACTCATCTTGTTCGTCTTCACGTGTTAAAAGGCAAAAGAAAACACAAGAGGCTGAATTGTTGAGTGTTGAAAAAATGAAATTGGACTTGTCGGTGAAAGAAGCGGAACGGGAAGAAGATGATGATTTCCTCTTTTTTAAAAGTTTGCTGCCGGACATGAAAACCCTGCCTCCCTGGCGAAAACGTCGTTTGAGACTGAAAATACATGAACTCGTTGTTGGAGATTGAAGATAACGAACGACAGTATAGTACACCAGTTGAAATGAGTTTCGTGGTACCACCTCAAGCATCTAACCAGCCAACATTTTCATTATTTACTCATCAAGATTCATTGCCTTAAAGTAGTATGGTTTCCGTGTTATTTTGCTACCAGCATTAAGTGCATTGCATTGTTATTGCATTGCTTGTATCACCATTAATAATTAATTATTACCCTTATTATTACGTCATTTTTTGTATGAAATCTACGCTGTGATTCCACTTTTAATTATTATTTGTATACTTACCTCACTGTTAAAACTAGCCGTTGTTCAGGGGATATCTTCTGTCTGTAGTTAGTACCAGGTCCGCCAAGATGATTTTCTAACTTCTCCAAGAGCATGTCAAAGGTATTTTTTATCATTCTTAAGTAATTATAAAATTTGTCATGATAAAGTCTTGCATCTCTGTACAAATGGTAGAATTCTCCCAAACTAATTCGTTCTTCATTAAATTCATGAACCTAATTACGACTCATCTTCCTACGTTTCAATTTTAAGACACTATTTTCCACCAGTAAAATCTTCCTTGCGAACTTCGATGACTGCATTCTCGCGACTGCATAGCGTTAAGAATTCGGTATGAACAGGAAGCAAGCATGGCGCTATGCATAGCAACGCGCGACACACTATGCGAAGCGCGCTCGGTGTGCACGCACCCTAACTGTAATTGTAAACAGCTTATCCAATAAATCGCTTCATCTAATCCGGAACCCATTAACTTCTTGTCGCGTTGCCAGGATACGTGACAGTAACAATTACCCGTGACTGCAGATATAGGGGAAAGCAACTTCAGCCATTCGGCAGGATTGCATGCCGTCATTGAGCTGCCCTGCTCGCATTTGCGTGGAAATCAGGCCTGTGTATGACGTCGATTGTAGTCTACCAGTGGACCACGAGCAAATTTCTTTGGACAGGAGAGGCATGTGAGAATAGTCATAAATCTGGTACTTATGATTCCTACAAGCTTACACTGTCCAGTGCTGAACGCTGTCACTTCGTTGTGCGTAAAGTGGCGTGATTTGTGAGGCATAAACTTGCATCTGAGCTTAATGTTACACGTACAGGCAACCTGTCCTTACACTTAATGAATTAAGCATCACGCCACCATGACGATGTATTGGGGACCGGAGGTATAACTCCACCATTCTCGGCACTGGATGAAGGTGTGTGGTCAGGTTCACGCCCTGTCCGCTTTACGCCCGGGAAAAGCGGGCCCAGTGGGTGGACTCCAGAATCGGTCTGGGCGTTGTCTAGGAAACTCGCTTGCCTCTTTCGAAATAAGGAAAGTAGGCTAAAAGCTACAGATAATTAGAAGTGAGCCTCATTTTCAATTGGTGCACCCTCTCTCTGCAGACGAGTCTCTGGTGGGCGAGTTGTGGGTGAGCATGAAGGAAGAACCTCTTAAAACATGGCTCTGACGCACTGACACGTGTCAGCTGAACTCACCTGGCAGCGTCACGTTGTATCGGCGTCTGGAGTAGCACTCATCCAACAGACGCATGAGGAACTGCGCGTCGGGACTGGCAGACGGGGACGTGGAGGACACTTGATGTTCCTGTATCTGGTCGTACTGCTGCCGCAGGGCCTGGAGGACAAAGTGCCTCGTACAAGATTCGCAGTTTGCTTTAGCAGCCAACATGTTTCTACACGGCGGTACAGGCAGAAACTTAGCCCATATTCGAGCCCTGTATAATTTAATTCTACAGTTCTACAATGTATTTTAAAATAACTTTAAGTTTTGGTATACATTTTCATTACTTTTTTAATTCTGATTTTTAATAACTCCAGGGTGGAAGGCAGACGTCTCGCTCCCCCCCCCTCCACCAACGTTTCAGCAGTGATTTCATCTCTTCAGACTAAAAGTCTGTATGCGCCTCTCATCCCGTCCGTATCTTCTGCGCGCGTTGCCGATCTCATACTTGGTTTAATTGACAAATATGTGGAGAAGAATTCAAACTACGAAGCTCCTGACTATGCAGTTTTCCATCCTCCCATCACGTCTCACTCAGGTCCAAATATTCTCCTCAGCCTTCCTGTATATGAACTAACTCCTTGGAGCTGGACACTTCTCGAGAAGTCGCCAGTCTCTCAGGCTCTCAAGAATTTACCAACATTTTATGGGACCCGAAGGTTCATTACCGTGTTCGCAAGAGCCAGCTACTGGTCCCTATCCTGGTCCAGATGACTCCAATCCGTAATATCCGATCCTATTTCTCTAAGGCCTATTTTAATATTAATCTTTAGCCTATGTTTATATCGTCCCTGTGGTCCCTTTCCTTCCGAATTTCCCATCAATATCCTGTTTGATTTCTCTTCTCCTTGTCTATCTCATCGCCCTTGACTTGGCGAAGAGTACAAGTTATGAAGCTCCTCATTATGCAGTTTTCTGCAACCTCCTGTCACTTAATCTCTCTTCGGTCCAAATATTTTCCTCAAACACCCTCAGTCTATGTTCCTCCCTTAATGACAGAGACCAAGGCTCACACCCATACCAAAGCAGTGGCAGGTATATAAAAGTAAAGCTATCCCTGTAACAGACAGTGAAGGCCCATAGGGTTTTGAGACGTTGAGGGTTCCACATTATCTAGACAATCAGCCCAAAGTTGGCGGTAAGGTTGTCAGCCTTACGCGCCGGCCGCGCTTTACTCCCCAGGAATATTATTTAATTAATTCCTGATACTCATTTCTGTTAGAGGCTGAGTCAATCCCAGGGTCATAGTGCGGCTGGAAGGATAAGGTCAGTTAAAAAAATCCAATTACCTCATCGGGACTTGAACCCGCGACCTTCCGGCTTGTAGCATAGTAGTTATATAAATTTTATTGTCTGTGTTTTTTGACAGCAGACTGGAAGACAAAAGTTTTAGGCTGAATGATAGCAAGCAGTACCCGAATTCAGTCTCTTAATTTTCTCCTGAATCAAGTGTTGATTTCTTACTGTCATATTTTAACTGTGCCACATTTTCAAAGCATGTGTTTGCTATCTTCATGTCATGACTTTGCCCTGCATTCTGGTGACAACACAGCAACATGTATTTAGTTCATCAGCGTTTACTTCCAGACCAAACTCCTTACTAGCGTGAATTAAACATTCAGTGTTTTTCTTTATGGTTTTTACTCGTATGTTATCTCCCAGTAGATTCACATCATCAGCATAGAACAGCAGCTGATGTGTCTCATTTATTTCAGTCCCACCTCTTTTTTGGACCTTCTTAATGGCATATTCTAAAGCAAAGTTAAAAAGTTGTGGCGGTAAACCATCTTCTTCTTTAGACCATTTTGGATAAAGAAATCTTGAGACGAACCTTTGCCCATACGGACCTTAATATACACTTCATTTAAACCCACTTTAATCAGTCTAACTAGTTCTATAGTTATCCAAAACTCAGTGAGAATATTGTGCAATGCTTTCTTCTTAACTGAATCGTGGGCTTTCTTGATGTATATACTGCTTCATTGTACTACCATTTTTCTCCGGCATCTGACGAATGCAAAAATTGCGAAAAGTAATTAAATTGATACGCCGATCAGTTCAGTTCAGTTCACTTCATTTTCGTAATCTTTCTTACACAGACGGTAGGACTCCTTGGATGGGGGATCATCCCGTCGAAAGGCCGGTACCTACACACATGACAACTCAAACAGAATAAATGCACACACAAGCATCCATGCCTTGAGTGGGATTCGAATCCACTATCCCAGCGTTCGAGAGAGCGAAGACTGTTTATTCCTTAGACCGCACCGCCACTGTGACCGGCTCAAGGTAAATCAAGAACCCGAAAACCAAATGTAACATCGCCAAAGGAATGCCAGGAACATCAATACTTTAGACAGCAATTTGAATTCCTAGCGATTCCTTCGCTCCGAGCAGCAGATGCAGGCTCCAATTTCGAGCACGTAGAGCAGGTCCAGCAGCATGTTCGGTATATTCTTGCGCTGAATTCCAATCGCGTTTACGCAACTCAGTTTACGTTGGGGGAAATGTATAGAACTGGAAGCCCGTTATACAGATATAAAAGTTCTGAAACCGGTGCGAATGGTAGTTACTAACGAGGAAGGAAACGCAAACGTATCTCGACAATTTTGGCAATCTCACTCAGGCTAATTATCTCGAAAATCGTAACTTACGCTTGGCATAAGCGCAGAGGTACGTTGATTTTGTTCAAATTAAACAGAATTTCAGCATATCAACAAATTTGTATAAAACATTCTAATACGGAATTTTATGAAGATCAGTTTTGCCTTTCCCTATTTAAATGGACACTCCGAAGGCGCCCACACTGATTATTCGTTAGGAAACATTAGAATACTGCAATTGCAACCCTACATACTCGCTGGATGTAGGCACGGTAGCTTGTATTTGGAAAAGCGCAGTGACAACTCACCTTAACCCACTCTGCATCCAGACCGCAAGAAGTGTAGTTCACATCGTCGCCGCTTTCCCAAGTGGCGTCGGGGCCACACGTCCGGTTCACTGAAACAAACACCATTCTTCATATTATGTTCACAGCCGTCTGGATACAAGCTGCAGAGCGGACTCAAAATTCCGGTCTTCATTTGTTGACTGTAAGAGGTGGGACGTACAACGTTATATTCTTCTCGGTACGACACAAACCTCAACAACCGTTTTGTTACTGCGGTCTTAGGCATGTTCACCCAGTCAAGTACGCAAAACCGTATTATCTGATGAGTGGGAATTCATTTCCAAAGTTAAATTAGTTTAAAGCTTTGGTTTCTTAACATCTTTTGGATTATTTAACAGCGGATCGTTTGAGTTAATGTTAGTTGACTTTGGTGTGATCATCGCAGTGACTACGCATAGAGAGTACGGCTGTCTGGATTGGAACGCCACGTAGTTCGGAGACAGTCCGATAGCGGTAGCGTAGTTGGTTGAGGGGATATGCTACAAGTCGGAAGGTCGCGGGTTCAAGTCCCGATGAGGTCATTGGATTTTTTTCAATTGACCTAATCCGTCCAGCCGCGCTATGGCCCTGGGGTCGACTCAGCCTCTAACAGAAATGAGTACCAGGAATTAATTAAATAATTTTCCTAGGGAGTAAAGCGCGGCCGGCGCGTAAGGCTGACAACCTTACCGCCATCGTTGAGCCGATTCTCTAGATAATGTGGGACCCTCAATGTCTCACAAACCTATGGGCCTTCACGGCGTGGTACAGGGATAGCTTTACTTTTTACTTACATTTTTACTAATGTCGTTCATGCTGTTTGAACACAGACAATAGTACTCACCCCAGGAGAGATTCGCGGTCTCCAGGAAAGCGGGGCAGGGCTCCGTCGCGGTGGCTCCCCCCTCTGTTGGCGCCCAGCACACAACTCCATCGAACTCCGCCCCACACCAGGGCGGCTCTGAAACAGTGCACCAGATTCTGTACCTCACAAATTAACAGAGCTAAAGCTATCCCTGTAACAGACCGTGGAGGCCCATAGGGTCGTGAGACGTCGAGGCTCCAACATTTTGCAGAAAATCGGTTCATAGATGGCGGTGAGGTTGTCAGTCTTACGCGCCGGCCGCCCTTTACCCGCAGGAAGATCCCTGGTACTCATTTCTATTAGAGGCTGAGTCCACCCCAGGACCATATTGCGGCTGGAACACACGACCTTCCGGCTTGTAGCACAGTGCCTCAACCAAGTATGCTACCGCGTGCTCCCCGATACTTTACCCATGCTTTCAGTAAATTGTAGTTTACGCCTTGTTCCCACAGCCGAGTCTTCGATGGAGGAATGGAGGTGGGCCAATGCCGTCAGAACAAGAAGAGTCAGAACAAGAAGTTCACTGTTACGAGATACGGATTCCACGTGACTCCTTGGTGTCCATACAATTTTGTTTGACTCCACCCTCAAGAATATTGTGACACGACACCTGAAAGACGGAATAGTGGATCCAGAGTAGATGTTCATTGCTAGGCAACGAGACGGTAAACAGGTTCCCGCGGCAACGAATAAGCGAGCTACATTCAATGTATTCGTGATCTATAACGATGGAAACGTGTTTTCTGTTGTCTCCGCCCCGATGCTATATAACGAGGATCCCAGGCCAACTGAGGGAATAGAATTGGAGTGAGTCAGACAATACGATTATACACGTACGGATGAGAGGACGAGAGCAGAAGTCATGCAAAATCATGATAACGAACATGTTCGCGGTATAGGACAAGGTGAAGCCAGGCACAGAAAATATAAGAGGCTTAAACTTGGCAGTGGTCAAGCTTATGACCGTTAAAATGACTAAGTTCTCGTTGTAGCATAAGATCTGTAAGTTAGGCATGATCTGCTCTGTAAAGCCTGTACTGACAGAGGACTTGTGTGTAAAGCAAAAGGAAGAGTTTTCGATAACATATGTATGTGCGAAATATACACTTGACGAAAGGTCGAATGTATTCATAAGAGACAGACCCATCATCTCGTCAGAGAGGATGTTACATAAGGACTATTACCGCAAGAGTTCAGTTGGAAAAATAAAAAATCTCTGGTCATGAGCCTCAAGGAGCCTGATGCCAAAACGAACTGATTGGTAGTAAACCGCCAGTCGTAAAGTAATTCCGACTCTGACTGAAGGAATACTTGAGAGGATCTCTTTGAGACTGAGAAGAGATGGCAACAAGTTCAGTCGAGTCTTGAAAGTTAGCCTGTGAAGAGAAGACGTAGCGTGTGATTTGAAGGCTTTGTGTGTGCTGTAGTTACAGGAGGCTGTTATAAATCCGTTGCCATGATACGACTGATGAAGTGGAGTTCCAGCAATTATAAATACAAAAGTAGCAGTAAGCATTGACCCTGTACCTCTCCTGTGTCTGTTCGCTAGACCCTTGACAACGTAACTTACATTGTTGGATTTGAGGTTCTCATCAGAGTAACTATGAACAGTGCTTCACATACATACGGCAGTAACATACCTTGTTTATGCGTGGGTTTCTGGGCCAGCCTGGAGCAGCTGTGACTTGTCTTCAGCTGATAGGCTATCTGCTCCTGCCGGAGCGTGTCCGCCATCTGCAACACAATTTCAAGATCATCAATATCACCACTTTTATGTCCTGATGAATACAAGAGAAAGGAACCTGAAAAGGCCAGACCATAGCTAGAGCGGTTAGTCACTGGCTTCCTACCTCTGCGGCCCGGGTTCAATCCCAGGTCAAGTGGGATTTGTGGTGGACAAAGTGGCGCTGGGGCGGGTTTTCTCCGAGTGAGGCGTGAGGGACTTATGAAGTATGCAGTTAAGATGGGCTGAAATGCCGTGATATGCATGCCAACTTTAATAAAGATTGGTTCGGCCATTCAAAAGTTGATATCGGGGATACAGTGACACACAAACACAGACAGCATGGTGATAACATAAACTACTTTTCTTCAAAATAAGGATAGTAGACTAAGAAGTCGAACGTATAGTCTTCTCTTCACGCACTCCCTTACAACCAACTTCTAAACTTGTCCCATTCATAACCCCTTGGCACGGACCACATAGAAAGCACCATTTATTGTTGTACTCTAATCGGTTCCATAGGAACATGTTTGTCTGTCAAGGCGTTACCCAGTAACGGTTACTTATACTTGCTTATTAAGAACCTGTTTCCTAGCAACCAATATTGTTTCGTTGTTTGTTTCGAGGTAGTTACCCAGTGACGGATCAACACGCTACAATATTCTTCGCCTGTCCACAGGATATTATGCAAGGGGAGATCACCCGTAACGTGTTGATATCATAGCCATTCGATAAATTGCATCATTTGATCATCTGACCCATTTCACGCTCTGCGTCATTTGACGGTGTCGTATATCTAGAATACTGAGTATCAGGGCTTTTGTTGGTAATATTTTAGACTTTTTATGAAGAAGGGATCACACTATGGAGAGCTTATATGGCAAATTGCTTCACCTTGTATAAACGTTTGTGAATCTATACATCCACTTCCCGTAAGTTTTCATGGCGTAATGATTAATTAGTACAGCACAGGGACAACTTTTTTTTCCTTGGCACTACAGCCCCAGTGGTCCTAGGCCTACCTCCATGAACTTCTCCGTTCACTTCGGTTTTTCTAGATCTTACACATTCGGTAGGACTCCTTGGGCGGGTGATCAGCTCGTCGCAAGGCCTCTACCTGTACACAAACACAGAAAAACGCACATACAGAAACTAAACATCCATGCCCTGAGTGGGATTCGAACCCAAGATCCCGGTTTCCAAGCGAGCGAAGACAGTACATGCCTTAGACCGTTCGGCTACCGTGACCGGCCAGGGACAACTTTACCTTTACCTTTACCTTTACCTGCATAAACGTAAAATATTAAAATACGTCTGTAAGTTTCACCTGTTGTTTTGTACTAATCTGAAAATAATATCTCGAAACGGAAGAGAATGAGGAAGATGGGGACAAGGACTTCACGAAGATTTCAATACGTGACATTTTCACCGCAATCTTATCGGTTATTGTTGCAATAACAGACAATCCTGTGCACTTTTACTGCAAACAATTCTGTGAAACGCCTTCATGTGATATTTCGCAACTTATAACTGAGAACTTTAAGACCTACAAGAAATGCAGAACTTATTTTCTTTCACTTCATGCCTCTGAGGGTGGCCACAAGGAGCCAAAGCTTATAAGGCAATACATCTTACTTTATCTGTTCTATGCAATTTGTTACACTGGATGAAATCCATCATCTTCGCCTGCTTGAACACTGGGATCGTGGGTTCGAATCCCACAAGAAGCATGAATGTCTCTGTGCGTTTATTCTGTTTGTGTTTTTTTAGGTAGAGGCCTTGCGACTGGCTGATCCCCCGTCCTAGGAGTCCTACAGACTGTGCATAGGACTAAGAGACTAAAATATCGGCAAGATCCAAAAGGCTGTAGGGCCATAGGGCGAGAGAGACAGAGAGAGAGGGAAGTCTGTAGGACCTATTTAAAAAAATACTTCCTCAAGAATTCCGTTATTTATATTTCCAATCAATTGCTCTCAGGATGAAGAGATCAGTGAGGGTTGGCGTCTCAGGGCACTGGTATGTACGCTCCTTAGTCCGAAAACCTGAAGGTAGAAAGCACATGGCAGACAAGAGCATAGGTAAGAGGTAATATTAAAATTGACTCTTTGAAGCAATAATTAAATGGATTTGATTAACTAATGATAGAGCTCGCGGCAGGCAATTTTGAACACGAGCTTCGTAGTTATTGAAGCGTGGTTCCTTTTTTGGCTGCTTGAGCTACTATCAGCTTCCGAAGAAAGAATGTGCTGCGTTCATAATTAACCTTTTAAAGTCCAGTGGTCACTATATGCACCACCTGCTTTACCATACTAAAACTCTGCATTCTGCCCATACAGTGTACTGTTCTCACAATAAATAGAGACTGTTTATCTAAACAGAATTAACCGGCTGGATTTCGTAGCGGAGACGTGATGTGTTTTCTGTGAGGTACAATATATGAGTTTGACACCAGACATAGAAAATATAGGAGGCTTAAACTTGGCGGTGGTCAAGCTTACTACAGTTCGTATGTGCTATACGTACACTTGACGAAAGGCCAAGCATTCTCGTAGTCATAAGAGACAAACCCATCTTCTTGTCAGAGAGGATGTTACATAAGGATTATGAAGGCAAGCGTTCAGTTGCAAAAAAAAAAAAAAAATCTCTAGTCTTGAGTGCCAAAGTGTTTGACACCAAGACGAACTGATTGACGGTAAACCACCAGTCGTAAAGTAACTCTCACTTTGACTTTGACTGAGAGTATCGGTATGGAGGTGGGTTCGAATACCTCCACCGTAGCTCTGCCAGTCGTAGCAGGCGACGAAAAGGGAACCCAGTGTCTGGGGGTATAACTAGGCCACTCTGGTCTTGGAGAATATAAATACAGGGGCAGTCCCTCCAGATTGGGGCAGTCTCGAATCTGAGACAGTAAAATATGGTCATCAGTCCAGCGGAACTCGAAACCGAGAATGACTGCGCTGGCGAAGGCAAACAGCAACTGTAAATGAGAAACCCGATCTTACGTCAACAAACCGGAAACTGTCTGACAGTAACTAAAATCTGATCTTGGGCCCCAGGAGGGTGCTTTATTCCATGACATACTGGCCGATTGACCGTCGGTCTTAACACAAATTTGTCTTTCACTTTGACTCAGCTCATAAAGGGTTAACACCATGACATGAAGATAGCCTCAGCAATAGATGAAGCTGAGTGGTTAGCTTTAAGATGCGAACCCTCTATTCCTTGGTAGTAAATTCCCCGGAGAGGAGGCTGGTTGAACTCCAGAGCCGGCCTGAATTCTGTGAGAAAGACAAATTGAACATCGAGTCCTCTGTCTTGTAGTCCTCGCACGATCTAGTCTCTCTAACTGCGTGTCCCAGCTGTCAAGTCCACGGATGCTCCGTTGCAGAGAAAACTCCACCCCGCCCCACCTCCGCGGATCCATGTATCGCATTCGCTGTTTCGTCTTAGTGCCGTGTTCGCACACCCCGTGCAATAGAAGGAACGCGGCGCCACGATGTGGCTGTCCGTGGAGGGCTGTGAGCTGCCGCCTCTCTGTCGATGGGCGCAAATATCACGCCGACCTTTAACTCTTGGTTTATTCACGGCAGCCAAGCGTGTCGTGACGTCACACGGTCTCTATATTGTCCCGTGTTAAGCAGGATGCGAGAAGGAGCTTGTCCGGATGGCAGCCATTCTCATTCAATATTAGCATTTAGTTGGTCGAGCTCTTGAAGCCGAAAATTCTCATCTCTCTACATAAGACAGGGAAATTTTAAGCACTGAACATTGACATTATCTGAAAGATGGGAAAGAAGACAGAGAAACTTGAAAAATACATGCATTCACGCATATGAATTTTCTACGGGGAACTTTCCGGGTTGTAAGGCCGTGTACTTCGGAGAATAACTTGCTGCTTGTTTCTACTAATTCCCTTGCATGGATTAACTTTCGACTCTGAAGATGGAAGCGATATATTCCTCCAAAACGTCAGGTTATTTCTGAACTACACAGGCATACAACACAGAAGACCGCAGTCTTCGGTCAGAACCTAAAATTCCACATACTGTTTTCTGTTCTGCGACATTAAGCAGAGTGCGAAAGACTGTTACGTAATAAACTGACTCTTGCACACGGCACACTTTAATGCGCTGCATCATGTCGCTTCTACCCAATGAGGTAATTGGATTTTTCAATTCACCTAAGCCTTCAGCCGCACTATGGCCCTCGGGTCGACTCAGCCTCTCACGGAAATGAGTACCGGGTATCTTCGTAGGGGATAACCGGCGGCCGGCGTGTAATGCTCGAAAAGCTCACCGCTATCTGTGAGCAGATTATCTAGAGAATGTGGGAGCCTCGACATCTCACAACCTTATGAGCCTCCACGGCCTGTTACATTGGACTCTTTTCGTACATAAATATAGATAAACAATGCATTTATGCAGTAGACGATTGTATGCACCCTTACAGAATGCTACATTCAATATTTTCTGGCTGACAGTGAGGAATTGCTGAGAATGGCGCTACACCACTTGATGTTATGGCACGAGCTGCCAAACAAGTGACAGGAGCAAGCGATATCACTCACTCACTCACTCATGGAGCTGATCCATTCTTGAGAAGCCGCCAATTATGCAGCTACTCAAGTACATCCCAGCATTTTATGGAACCCGAAGGCTCATAACCGTATTCACAAGAGCGCTCTATCGATCCCTATCCTGAGCCAGATCGATCCAGTCCATATTATCCTACTCTGTTTCTCTAAGATCCATTTTAATATTGTACACCACTTATGTCTTGGTCTTCCCAGTGGTCTCCTTCCTTCTGGCTTTGCCACAAATATCCTATATGCATTCCTCTTCCCCCATTCGTGCTACATGCCCTACCAATTTCATCCATCTCCAAAGTCCCGTAACTTTATCTCTGTTCTGTCCAAATAGTCTCCTCAACACCCTGTTCATAAAGACCCTCAGTCTATGTTCTTCCCTTAATATCAGAGGCCAAGTTTCACACCCATACAGAACCACAGGCA